CCTTAATTTCTCTCTCTTCTGTCTTGTTGTTGGTGTATAGGAATACCACTGATTTCTGTGCATTGATTTTATATCCTGCCACTTTACTGAATTCCTGTATGAGTTCTAGCAGTTTTGGGGTGGAGTCTTTTGGTTTTTCCACATAAAGTATCATATCATCTGCAAAGAGTGAGAGTTTGACTTTTTCCTTGCCGATTTGGATGACTTTGATTTCTTTTTGTTGTCTGATTGCTGTGGCTAGGACTCAATCAATCATTTTAAATGGATGAATAGTAATCTGTTGTCTGTGCCCATACTGTTTCAATTCATCATTCCCTGATGATGGACATTTGGATCTGCAACTATTTAATTTCTACAGACAACAATGCATGTCATATATTTATAAATATTTCCTTAGTCATGTATGATAATATCCTTATACTTGTAAAATTGAAACCTTTGAGTTAGAGAGTATTCACATACTTAAGGCTTTTTGGTATATATTGGCAAATTTCCTTCTACATAACAGTCTTTCATTAAATGGATTTATAATTAGTAAACTCAGTCTTTTATTTCTATATAAAAGAATCAAATGGAAATTCTAGAAATGAAAAACTGAAATAAAATAATTGGATCAGCTTAAGGGCAAATCAAAAATTACAAAACTCAATTAATGGACAGCTGAGTCTGCTATTTATATGGAAATACATAGAGCCACGCTGAAAAAGAAAATCTTGAATAAGAACAAAGTTGAAGAACTTAGACTTCAGACTATCAAGATTATAGTAATAAAGATGGTGTAATATTGGTATGAGGATAGAAGAAAGACAAATGGAGCAGAATAGTGAGTCCAGAAGTACACACAAACACATATAAAGGCACCTGATTTAGAATAAAGGTAATATGCAGAGCCATAGAGATGAGATGTTTTGTTCTGTTTAATAGATGATATTGGGACTATAGGATATCCACATGAGGTAAAGAAGTAAATCTTGACCCCTACCTCACACTATACACAAAAATCAATTCCAGATGAATTATATATCTAAATGGAAAAGACAAAACAATAAAACTTCTAGATGATAATAGAAGAGAATATAAACATGACTTGGAAGAAGCAAAATTTTCTTGAACAGGACATGAAAAACAGTAATTACTAAGTAGAAGATGATACATTGGACATTTTGAAGATTTAAAACTTTTTTTAACTCAAAAAATCACCATTGAATAAGATTTTTTCAGTACATACATGCAACAAAAGGCTCATGTCCAAGATAACCAGAAAACTCCAAACAAGTAAGAAAAACAGATAAGCCAATAGAATATGCTTAAGAGAGCTGAACAACCACTTCACAGAAAGGATGCTAAAATGCCCGATAAGCACACAAAAAGAATCTCCACAGTGCTGGTGACAGAAAAATGCAAATTAAAACCACAATAAGAAACAACTACACATGTACCGTAAGAGTTTAATTTTTTTTAAATGATAAGGATGTAGAGCAACTGTTTTCGAGTACTTACAATAGTAAACATGTGCCCTAAACCCAGAAATTCCATGCCTACGTATATACCCAACAAAAATAAATGTACCTATGCACCAAAAGACATGTAATAAGATGTTCAAAGCAACATTACTCACAGTACTCCAATATTGGGGGAGAAAAAGTCCAACAGCCAAAGAAATAAATAAATTGTGATAGACTCATATAGTAGTAAATGGTGTGGGAATAAACATCAACCATCACTGTTACATATAAAAACATGGATGAACCTCACAAATATCATGTTGAGCCCGGGAAGCTAAACACGAAAGAGTGGATAATACATGATCTCATTTACAGAAAGTCCAAAACAGGTGAAGATACTTGATGGTAAATGAGGATAGTGGTTAATTTTTTGGCAATTGTGATTAAGGGTCTGTTTTGATCACACAGGTGTGTTCACTTCGTTGAAATCCACCAAGCTGTATACTTAGGATTTGTGTACTTTTCCATGTGTATATCATGTTTCAACAAAAATCTTATTTAAAAACAGGTGATACCCCAAGGACACTGGGTGAACTTTCAGGACCAGCCATTTTATTTATTTTTTTTAAGATTTTTATAATGGAGGACATTAGAAGAAGGAAGGGGAAAATGAAGGGGGGGAAATCGGAGGGGGAGACAAACCATGAGAGACTATGGACTCTGAGAAACAAACTGAGAGTTTTAGAGCGGAGGGGGGTGGGGAGATGGGTTAGCCCGGTGATGGGTATTGAGGAGGGCATGTTCTGCATGGAGCACTGGGTGTTATACGCAAACAATGAATCATGGAACACTACATCAAAAACTAATGATGTACTGTATGGTGACTAACATAACATAATAAAAATAAAATTTAAAAAATTTTTAAAAAATTATTTATTTGAGAGAGAGCATGTACAAGCAGGGGGAGTGGCAGCAGAGGGAGAGGCAGGCTCCCCACTGAACAGGGAGCCCAATGTGGGGCTCGATCCCAGGACCCTGGGATCATGACCTGAGCCAAAGGCAGACGCTTTACTGACTGAGCCACCCAGGAGCCCCAGGCCCCACCATTTTAAAACAAGTCCTTGTGTGTGTCTCTACACCCACAACACAACACTGCCCACCAACCATCTACGGAAGGCATAAGGGCAATGTGGTCGGCTGGGCAAGGAGGTTGGAGAGGAGATTGGTCTAGGAGAAGAGACTCTAGGAACTCAGTGGTTTGGAGACTCAACTGGGCTCCTTGGCACCTGAGCTAAGGAGAACTGGAATTGGAGAAAAGGGGACAAGCCCTGCTTCCCTGTCTAAAGTGGGGGAAAGCTGGGAAGGTAGCACTTCCTCCCTGCACACCCATCACCAACTGCCATGGAGTCAGCTGAGCCCTGGTTCTTGCTCCACCACACAGCCATTGGCAAGCAGCCCATCCCACCCCCTCCACCTCCAGAAATGGTTCCAAATCATCATTAGGAAGGTAGCAACCGAAAGGCCACATTCAACACATGGAAAATGATTTAAGGGTGTCAAAATGAAGTAAGAAAATTGTCAATTATTTAAAACAAGAGAGAGAGCAGCAAAGTAGAGGACTGCCCATAACTCAGAACCAAGACAGACCACAAGACATGCTCTTGTTGAGCCCAACATGCTCTTAGTTGCTCCTCTAAACCAGTTATACTTGGCCCCCATAGCCCTAAATCTCAGGAAGGGTGTGATCGTCTTTTCTTCGGCTCCATAGAATTAGTTTGTTTTCTGCTAGGGATGGGAATTCAGGAGGGTCCTTTGTACTCTTTCCCTGAAAGGGGGGGCGTATGCTGCTGTGTTCTCCTCCTGCCCCATGCAGAGATGAAGAGAATGCCATTCCTTGGCAATGAGGGGACCTGGGGAAGGAGACAAGGGCCCAGTCCCTCCTTATGCCAAATGCTCAGAAACAAACACATGCACATTCAACCCTTGACTAGGTTTTAAGTGGTTGTATACTGAAACGCTGGTGACGGGATCAATCCAAGAGAGTCAGATGGTGGAAAAGTAATGCAGCCTGAATCTAGCTGCACCATGGAATGGAAGATTCCAATCCCAGAGAGGCTTTCCTGCCCAAAGTCTGGAGTCACCCCCTACTTGGACACTGGGACACTCACGGTACTCTTGTCTTCTCTCCCCCTCCTCTTTTGCTAAATCTCTGCCACTAGCTAGAGTAGATGAGTCCGGAAATGGGAAAGGAAGAACATTATGGGGTAGAGATTCCTCCATTCTAGATGTTGGTGAGCTTTCTCCCCAGGGATGGTGGAAAGCAGGTCAGTTTTGAGTACCCAGAATTCACTGATCCCTTTTCTGCTAACAGCACCCTGATTTCCCTCTGGCAGACCACCCCACTCCTAATATATATGCTTGTGGCAGCACAACTCAAATCTTGGCTCCAGAAACAGCACATGACTTCACTAAACCAACTAGAGCACTGCCCCCCACTTTGCCACGGTGATTGGTAGAACATAACCCAGTCAGTGTTGAGACACATTGAAACTTCTGGGAAAGAAACCATGTGCCACTGGTTCTGAAGTTACAGGAAGGTGAAGCGGGAGCTGCTGCAGCCACTTTGTAACCATGTGGAGAGAACCTGTCCAAGTGTGGAGAGGAAAAGGAGCTGAGAGGCAATGAGGGGGAAGTGGGCCCTGTTGAAATCGGTTAGGTATCTGAATCAAACCACACTTGAATCTGAGTCTACCTAGAGCCATTTGGAGGGACATACTCTGTAGTGCTTGCAACAGAAGGACTCATATCTAGTGTGCCAACTGCCTAAAATAAATTAGAGATCCCTCAAATATGAAGATTAATTTCCTGATAAAACCCTCACCAAGTCTACATGAGAGTTTCCTATTGCTCCTTCTTGACCTCCTCAGCCCTTAACAAAAGAAAGAAATTTTCCATTTCCACCCCCAATCCTCGGCCATTAATTTAACAACAACGGGCACTGGGTCCAGCCCTCTTCCCTTATTCCAAGATTTCTCCCCCAAGTGGATCATGGTAGAGAGGTGGGCAGTCCTGCCAAAACCACAAAAGCCCCCACAAAATAGGTTACCACCATCTCTTTGGTTGAGGTCACCCAACGGTGCACCTCAACAGCCTTGCCCTTAGCCCTGCAGTCCCCCCATGTTATTTCCGGACTGGACCGAGTTCTTCAGGAAGCCCGGGAGGCTCTGTGGAAGCACCACAACTTGAGTCGGCCCCATGAGCTTTCATAGCCTGCGTTCCATCACTGGCCTTTTCTCACTGCTGCACGAAAAGGAAGCTGATGATTCTCCTCACGGTGGGGCCACCAGCTCTCTCCTTCCAATCCATTATGCATGGCGTGGGGCCTGTAACTCTGCACACGCCATGCTGTTCTGTATAAATAGGGACCATCCATCAGAAATGTCACAGACAGGAAGCCAGTGAAGTTTCTACAACCAATTTACAATCAGAATCTGCCATGAAATGCACACAGAAAATGCCTTAACAGATCGAGAGGATGTGGGGTACACGTTATGCATGGCCAATGGAGCGCTGTTAAATCCGGAGGATGAGGCGCGACAAAGAAAAAGTGAAACATGAACAAAAATGAGGGAACAAATGAAATGCAGGTGGGGTCTACAGTCTCACCGGAAAATGAAAAACAACAGTGTGGCAAATAGAAATGGTGTTACCATGTCCCCTTTTTTTTTTTCCCATTCTGCAAAGTCAGCAAACCAGGGGCACTCTTGCAAATACATGTTCTTCTTGATGCTGAATTTATTATCGCCAGGCTAAAAAGTATAAAAATTGAAGATTTCTATTTAGACAGAAAATAAATTTAACTAAGGGGGATAGCCAGGCTTGTTTTCTAAAGTCAGAGCTGCCAACTTCCTTCAACCTTGTCCCGAAAGATTTACTTGCCAGTGTAAAATTTCAGCCTGGGTTCGGTGGTGTGGCTTAATTTTTAGAAGCTTTAAAACGACCTTGGAGGAAAAAGAGGAAGTCTGTTCATTGTTCTCATCATGAACGTCCTGAACATTCAGGTCCCAGGCATCTTTCTTTCTTTCCTTCCAAATATGTTGATGCAAAAGAAAGAGATATTTAAATGTTAACATGATCTTCATCAATATGATCATTATCACCATCATGAGGCCAGTTGGTACTTAATGAGAACGGCTTTTATACCAGGAAGAAGAGTGATTTCACATAAAGTGAATACAAATATATGCCCCCTCTACAGATGGTAAAATCTGGACTAAGAGAGGTTAAGTATCAATTAAATGATAGACTCAGATTCCAGCACCTCCTTCAGATGCCAGACCATCAAGAACTCTAGTCACTGAATCTCCTGCCACTAATCAAGAGCATTTATAAGCCCCTCGATGGGCTAGTTACACATTTTCTTCTCAAGCGTCTCTGAAACACCAACATGACTCCTCCTTAGCCCATTCCTGCAATTGACGAGCTTCCCAGTCACGAATGAATCAAACGAACTTCTAGTAAGCATGTACCACTGATAGTAATAGCTAGCTTTACTGAGTGCTAACCGTATGCCAGACATTGTGCTCATCATTTTATATGGATTATCTCACCCACTTATCTCACTGACCCTACGAAATGTCTACCATGATTGTCCACATTTGACAGGTGAGAAAACCGAGACCCGTACAGGGCTGGTGAGCCCAAGCACATTCATTCAGAGGCACACCTGGAAGCTTTCTGCTCCCATTTTCTCCCGAACCCACAACGACCAGGCTTTCTCGGCCTCTGCTCACGTGAAGCTGTTCTTGCCCCATGACCCATGACCTCCACAGAGCTCAGGCTTATGATCAGTTGAGGGCTCAGCTGTCTTCTTCCACTTCATGAGCAGCTTCTGATACACTTGATCACTCTCCCATGCTTAGCACGCATGCTTCCATGGTCTCCTGTGATTCTTGACTCTTTTCCAGTCACTAGCCGATCCTGTTCAGTCATCTTGCTGGTCCCTCCTCGTCTCCCCAACCTTGAAATGTCGGAGAACCTCAGTCCTCACACCTCCTCTCTGCTCTATCCACTCACTCCCTTGGTGGTTTCCTCCAGGCTCAGGGTTTTAAACACTATCAACAGGCTGACAATTCCCAAGTGTGTTCCTCCATCCCAGACTCATCTCCCAAATCCTTAAGAGTATATTCAACTAACATCTAACATAGATATCTTAAATTGGACAGGTCCAAAACAACTCCCCCTGCTCAACTGGCAAACTCCACCCTCCAGCCAGTCTATGCCTCTGCCTATATAGCAACTCTGCCCATGGAGTTGCCAGAGACAGATATCTTGGAGCCATCCTTAAATACCCTCTCTGTCACGTCTCGTGCACCATCCAGCAACAAACCATTTTTGGGTTCCGTCTACAAAATATATCATAACTGGGTTATTTCTTACCACTCCACTCACCTGCACCACTTTTCCCTGAGTGATCATGTAGCTTCCTAATTGATCTCCTGGCTCCGCCATCCATCCTCCCACAAATCTGTTCTCCAGAGAGCAGTTGTGGAGTGGTCACTTCTTACATCAGCTACCCCAATCAAACATGCCTTCTGATATCCGTACTATGCACAGCCCCACGGTGACTCTGGGCTTGGCGATGTCACTTAGCACACGGGGTGGGGGGGGCAGGTGGGGGCCCGTGGAAGTTTGGCACGTCTTCTCCAGGAATGCCGCCACCATCTTAGAAGGAAGCCCTACCAGATGTAGCCTCCTTGGATGAAAGACCACATGGGAAGAGAGGGCCAAGACATCCTAGCTGAGCCCGTCCTCCAGCTGACTGAGCTCAGGTGAAACCAGCAGAACGGCCCTGTCATCCCACACAATTGGTAGAAACAACAAACCACTGTTTTCTTAAGCCACTAGCAACAGACAATGGATCTAGAATGCTTTCAAAACAAGCCTGTTCAGTTCATTCCTCTGCTCCAAATCCTCTCACGGCTTCCCATCTAACTCGGAGCAAAACCAGAGTCCTAAACAATGACCGACAAGGCCCCCCTGCCCCCTTTCCGATGTCATCCCATCACTGCCTCCCTCAGTGCAGCCACACCAGCCTCCTCGCTCCTCCTCAAGTTCACCAGGCACCTGCGGCTGCTGCGCCGATGGGGTGCTCCTTGCCCGGATATTCCCCTGGCCTCCTTTGCTTCCCCCCTGCTAAAGCTGTCTCCCTATGAGCCTATGGAACACAGCCCCGCCCCCTCCCCTTGTCCCATGTGCACTTGTCACCACTGTACCCTCTGTGTGTTCACTTGGGTGTTTGTTCCCTGGGTTTTCCCAAGTAGGATGAGAGCTCCTCGAAGGCAGGTGCTCTGTCTTTTTTTGTTCTCTGCTAACTCCTAAGTGCCTAGAACAATGCCTTAACCATGGTAATCATCAACAAATATTTGTTAAAGGAAACAAAGAAATGGAATCCAAGAGTCTAATGCGTCTATTCCTAACAAGGATATTATGCTGAATCTCTAAAGAAATTACTCTAGCTAAGTGCTGGAGGGGGACCAAGAAGTTTGACATCCATAAGTGAGCTAGTCTCATCTCCAGTCCAGCTTGAGGTCAGGCCCTGAGGGCTTCAACTCCCAGGCAGAGCCCCACCTAAGGCCTGAGCCAGTCCAGGCCTGAGCGGGGAGACCTGTAAAACCCTCATGGTCACATGCAAGGGGCATCTAGAAGGGTCGTGCTGCCTAGGTCTGGTGTCTCGTGTGCCTGGCAAAAGTCTCAAAGACAGGTGTCCCTCCTCCCCATTCATGGCTGCCTATCTCCTCCTCCACCCTATGCGGGCTCCTCCACTTGACCCACTTTCTCTAATGAAATACTCATAGGGAACGTACTCTGTGCTAGTTCTGTGCAGCTCTAGGAATACAGCAGTGAGCTTGAAGCACAGCCTCAAGATACCTGTAAGACAGTACGTTTTTTTTTCACCACCGGCCTTTTGGGTGGCATTATTCATTATTTTGTGGGGCTGTCCCATGCATTATAGGATATCTACCATCGTCGGCCATTCAAAATCCAATCAGTAGGGATAACCAAAGTTCCCTTGTCCATGTTCAGTGGTTCATAAGGATGCCAAACCCACCCGTGGTGGAGAACCATGAGAACGGGTTGCCCAGCTTGGGTCAAAGCCCTGCCTGCTGCACCCTGTTAGAGCTGTTTACTTGTCTGTCTCTCCAACTTGACACTGAGATCCATCAGGGATGGATCATGACTCGGTGACCTCTGTGTACCAGCACCCAGCACAGGTGTGCGACCAACGTTAAGTGACACACAGGAGGCTTGAACATGTCCTGCCTGGCTCGGACTTCGCTCCAAATCCCACTCTCCCCGAGGTCAGCCTCTTGATCTCCACAACCCTCCGAACCCTATAGAGCACCCAAAATCATCTTGCCATCCATGCGGCTTTTATCCAAGCTTCAGTTAAAATGCTCACCAAATTCACAGATGAGTGAATGAGTCCTCTTGAGAAGTTCATGATACAGACTAGAGAGAAAGTACAACACGTTCATACTCCCGGGGCGGTGTGTAGGGTGCTACCACAGAGAAACATGGTGGGCTGTTTAGGAGCCGAAAGGAGATGCCCTCCTCAGAGCAATAGTGTGAATCAAAAACCTTGGGTTTTTAAATTACAACTCATTCTTTTTTAAAATGATAAAGCATTAAGAATAACTTTTAGAATAATTCTTTCAAAACTATCTCAGAGATCCATCACTGCTCTCCAGCTCTCCACCAGTAAGCAATCTGATTCTCGAGGCTCACATCCACCCCCTGAATAGATTTGTGTGCCTCCAGACATGGGAAATGTGAGCTGGAGTGGCTGGGCACAAAGATGAAAAGTCAATTTCACATCACAGTGAGAAAATCATTTTCCCAGATATTACACAAGTCAACAAACAACAATATTCAAGCCTCTGGCACTGGCCTCGTCCAAGGAAATAACTCTTGAATTTAAGGAGAGAAACAGCCGGACGAGATTGGGGTGAAGTCACCTGTCTAGAAATTGACAAGCCCGGTGACAAAATGTCGGAGCTAAGTTCTCAAGCTTTGCGAGGTTAACAGAAAATGTCTGTATAGATGGCAAATGAGAGCCGCTGTAACTTCTCCAAAATGAATAAAAATCCTGTCAATTATAAACGAGTGAGCTTGACTTCCATCATAAAAACTGTCAGATGAAAATGAGAAACTTCTTTACAAGCCCAGCATTAAATACGACTTGTCAAATCAGTCGTGTCCTGAGCTTGCTGGTGGCAATGAACCCACGGCCTCGTCGTTTGCCTCGAGCATGCTCTGCAGGGCTGCACGATGAAAATGTGCAAACGCCGTGGTCTGACGATTCTGCCTGCCTTGCATGTCTCTCCTGATGAAGGACCCTTCCTTCCCCTCTGCCTCTGTCAGCCCGCGTGGCTCTCTTGGGGCTGATGACACAGCTCTGCCGCGGGTGGGAGGCACGTAGCCAAGTCAGCCCTTCGGGAAGCTCCATCCTCCCCAGCGACAGGACTGCCTGGGTTCTCATCACATGCCTCAAGTCGGCCCCGGGAAGCCAATCCTGGGACTTCTGCTGGAACAACTGGGAAAGGTCTCTCTCATCTCTGGGACTGCTAAGCGGACAGAATGTAACCCAGAGCTTCTGGAAGCCAGTGAGGGGCAGAAGCTGTGTAGGAATAAGGCCAACACAGAGGGAGGCAGAGCTGAGCGCACATTCAAAAGTCCCTCTCCCTGCTCTCACTGCTCAGACCCACCCCTGCTTATTGCCACGAGCCAGTAGATTCTCCCTTTTTTCCTAAGCTGGTTTGATTAGCATCGTGCCTGATGTGATTGCTGAGCTCCCTGTAACTCGACCAGCCCAGCAGCAGGCGTGTTCCGACTAAGACTCACAGGCGAGTTAAGGAACAGTAATTCAAAAGTTCTGACGACTGTACCTGTTGCGGATCCCACCGTGGGCCCCAGTGTCAATAATTGCAATTCTGCCCTGTTCATATAACCAAGCTCCTACCTGGTCCCCAGTTGTACAGCCTGGGTCCTGCCTCATTCCCCTGTCCTTGAAAGTTTGCTTCCAGGAGATTTCTACACAGACACAGCTCAGTCTTTGTTGATTCCAAATTGCGTAGAATTCTACCTCAGAAGTAACTGAAGTCCATCAGATGTTTGCTAAAGGTCACGATGACCTCATTGATTATTTAGAGTGGATGATGTTGGTGTCCTGCCCAGGTCTCCATGAGAGCACATTCCCCGGGGGGGTGCCTGTGAGTTACCACCAGAGCAGGAAGCAGCTCCTAGATGGCTGATCAAAGCCACCTTCTCTTTGGTAAGGCAACTGCTGGGTGCAACTCACACTCTTGAGCTCCCTGTGGGGGTCCCTGAAGCCTAGTTGTCTTTTCCTTTTTCTTTTTTTCCAGCTTCATTGACATGTAATTGACATGTAACATGTATAGGCTTAAGGTGTACAAAGGGTAGCTTTGCTACACTCATAGATTGCAAAGTGATTACCACCACAGGCTTAGCTAAGCCTCCAAGTCACATAATTACCATTTCTTTTTTGTGATGAGAACATTTAGGATTTACCCGCTTAGCAATGTTCAAGTAAAAAAAAGACAGTACTGTTAACCATAGTCACCACGCCGAACCTGAGATCCCCACGACCTTCTCATCTTTTAGCTAGAAGTCCATCCTCCTTGACCAGTATCTCTCCATTTCCCCCACCCCCCAGCCCCTGGCGGCCACCACTCTACAATTTTGATGAGTTGATGAAGCCTTGTTTTGTTTTTGGGTTTTTTTGCCTACCTTCTTTTCTTTATCCATCCTCCTTCCCTCATTACTTCACGGGTCCCTCTTCTGAGCAATCCCTCAGGAAATCGCTTGTGTGAGGCCGTCTCAGACTCGGCTTCCAGGGAACCTGGCCCCAAACGCTGATCAAACAGTGCCTGTCAATGTTGTGATCACAGAGAGCAAGGAAAGGCCACATCACACTCACAGGAGAGTTGTCACTGCACGGAGACACTGAAGTATGGACAGGGTTTCACAGGTGGAGGTGAGGAGGTGAGACATGAGGAAGGGCTCTGAGGCAGGAGCATGGAACAGGTAAGACAGGAGGGGAAGGGCGAGGAAAATACTTAATATGCACCTCCTCTGGGGGCGCCTGGGTGGCTCCGTTGGTTTAACGTCTACCTTCGGCTCAGGTCATGATCCCAGGATCCTGGGATCGAGCCCCACGTCAGGCTCCCTGCTCGGCGGGGAGTCTGCTTCTGCCTCTGTCTCTCCCCCCACTAGTCATGGCGCAAGCGCTCTCTCTCTCCCTCTCTCTCAAATACATAAATAAAATCTTAAAAAAAAACAAAAAAACAAAACATGCACCTCCTCTGTTTCTACGTCTGATACATGCCCCTCCATAATGTCATGGCCGCTCCTAAATCACAAGCTCAAGTGGAGTCACGGTTTTCTTCCCATGGTGCTCACGACCGGGGCCCAGAAGATTCAGAGGGAGGAACACGTGCACATAAGGGATGGAAAAGAAGGACAACACTTTACCCTCAACAGAGAGAGGGAGGAAGATAATTCCCCCAATGTATTTGTATCCAGGAGAATATTCTCTGGGAGAAGGAATTTCAGAGGTTAATTCTGCAAAGGGGACTTGAGTACGAGCTTTGGAATGGGATCAGGGAGGTGGGGACTGCAGTCAGTAGCAGATCAACGAAAAGCGAAGAGGCCTGCACATGTTTTGGATAATTATAGGTAATCTTATTTGTTACTCAAGACCATTTCGATGGGCTTATATCACCCAGAAGCTGAGAGAAGCAGCATGCCCACAATCAGTGAAGGAGTCAGGGTGGCCTACAGCTTCACCAATGAACCCATAAAGCTTATTGCCCTCCTTGTGAAATTGTCCAAAATGAACATTCCTGGGAAGATTAAAAAAAAATTGCATTCATCTATGTAAGGAGGGGGAGGTGCTGAGGGCTAAACCGTGTAATTCTGGGCAAAGAACACAGATGAGAGGGCTTCTGTCCTCGCCCGTGGCGGAGATCTTGTTGAGCAACCTGTCACAGAATCATGAACTCACAAAAGGCCACGAGGAGAACCGACGGCACAGACCCATACCCCACGTGCTGGGACCTGTGGTCTCCACGTGGCCTCAATAAGTATCACGAGATGCTCTACTGAGGCAAACTAGCCAGTGATCCAAAGTCAGTAGACAGGCGAGCAGAGAGGGAAGCCCAGAGAGCTTCCAGAGAAACAATGCGCTAGCAAAGTCCCAAGTAATTCTGTATCGTATGTGGTCTCTTCTCGCTGCCCGCAGTACTCAAGTGGATGTTGAATAAACACTCATTTCTGGAAGCTTCACTGACCGTGTGATGCCCATTGAACCTGGTGGAGCTTCGGGTTTCTGATCCGTAAAATGGGGCCGATAACGGACACTGCACTTCGCTTCCTGGGTTTGTGTTAAATGAGACAATGCACGTGAATTTTCTTCGAAAACTCTCAGGCCCCGGTGCAAACTATACTCACTTTCTCCGAAAGACACAAGCCCAAAATATCAGCATGTGAATGATTCTTTATTGGTTGGAAATGAAAGGAAGGTCAAAACGGTTACTTAAGTATACTGCCAAGAACACAAGAGATAGTAAAATTAAAAAACAAAAACAAAGCGTTTGCCATGAGAAAAAGCATTAACCTATGGTAATCTCTTTTTTATCATCTGCTTTCCACACTCTGTTCCAAGCTTGGGGTAGTTAGTGCTCCGAGGAAGCAGATGGATGTTGGTGACTATGTGACTTGCCCACAACAAATTACACAGCTTTATGGTGCTTTAAATCATCCCAAAGATAAAAATCAAAAACAAAGTTTTGGAGCTTGTCAAAACTAGTCTAATTAAAGCAGCCAATGTGCTAGCTGGCAAATGAGTCTGTGCATTGAGAGAACTCAGGCACAGCTGGCTGCAAGGCATGCTGGAAGCTTGTTGACATGGGCTGGAAGAAGGATAAAGAAGGTTTCCGGGGGGTCCAGAGTGTGGGGTTAGGGCCACACTGGGCCTGACCATCAAGGCTCAAGAATGTCCAAGCTTGTGGGGGGCGGCAGGAGGGGGAGAATGAGCAGTTCCTTTGGGCAGAAGATCCCAGCCAGTGGCTGGAAGCCCTGGTTACGGGCTGTAGGGCTGAGAACACAGGCGTGAGTCAAACAGTTTCTCTGTAGCCAACAAACTAACGGGCCCGGAGGGAAGACAGAAACACAAGCAGAGCATTTTGACGCAATAATAACCTATACCACTTATCTATTCTCTGCTTGGCGCTGGTGTGCTGGGCACACTCTCTCACCACTGAACACACCGTCTGCCCCGGGAGCCTGCTGGTCCCCTGCCCCGCCCGCATCTCTTGCCTCCTCGAAATGACATTTATGGAACAATCACCACATGCCAGGCATATTGCGAAGGATTTTATCTAAATTAAGCTCATGAGCCGCATGGGTACCAGGGTGGCCTCCAGAAGCCATGTTTTTTTATCCCCTGGCCTGACCTTCCTGGCAACAGATGACTGGAGTGAATACCTCACTCAGAACGGGCTGATGATAATGCTTTTCCTGAGAATTTGGATCTGAGTCTGCTAATTTTGCCCTACGCTGTCTGGTCTTCGAACAGAGGAGATAAAAACTCAGAAGTTGTTGGTGGCCTTGAGCACTGAGAAGCAGACGTGCAGAGAGAAGCAGACCTTTACACTGTTACAGTTCTACAAACCCTGGTCCCGGGCTCCTACCAGAGGCCCAGCTAGATCCCTCCTTGGGGATCCATCACCTACCCCTGCCACTGAAGAACAAACATTCCTGCTTAGTTAAACCAGTTTAAGTAAGTCTCTTTTCTTGCAAGCAGGAGTCCTAACTAATGTATCACCCACCTAGATTGTAAACGGGGATTCAGAACAGTCTGTCAGATAGAAGGGAGGCTGGGTGCGTACCCACCACACTTAACTTCTTACACTCCTGTCCCTGACGTCCTCCCAGCACACCCTCTTGTTACACTCCAGCCACATCAAATGACTGGCAATTCTGGGAACTCTCCCTACGGTTTATTTTCCACCTGCCATTGTGAATGCTGATCCCTCTGCCTCAACATCCTTTCCCTCTTGGACAAGTACACTCGTATTCCTCACACAAGCCTCAAAAGCATTGCCAAGGCTCCGACATGGGTCTCACGTCTCCCACTCAGGTCCCCGAGCCAGGATCCCTGGCTTTTCCAGGATGCCAGCTGCATCTAGGTTGCAAGTCCCCCTTCTGTGCACAGAGCACTCTGTTCACCTGTCAGTCTCCCCCACCACGCTCGGCAGCAGAGACCCTGTCTCTTTCTTCATCCCCTCTCTTGGGCAGAGAGCTTCGCACTGAGCAGGAACACAAGCAAAGTTTTTTGTGTGAGTAAACAATTAAAATTACCATTTTTTCTGCTCTACGCATTCTTCCAGTACCATGAACGATGGTTGGAACCCATCACAGTGGGGGAAAACCTGACCAGAAATCAGAAGATGGAAACTGGGTTTGTTTGGATAAATCTCGTACCATCGAGGGGTAACGGGATTGGGAAGAATTTCCAAGAGCAGCTGGAAGCGTGGTCCTTGCTGCTGGGTGAAGATTCCCCTACCTGATCTGCCTGTGTCTTCTCTTGTGCCATGACAACTCTACCTGCCCAGAGCAGCCACAGTGATCTTTCTGGAAAATACAAATCAGATTATGACCCAAACATCTTACCAAAATGTGGCCCAAGGGCACCTATCCCTTCACTCGCTTTGTTCCAAGACCTCGGCTTTCCTTCCACCCCAGGGGGCTAAATGTGTATCTGCCTTGGGGCCTCTGTCTTGTTTTCCCCCGACCTGCATTTTCAAATGACTAAATCTCAACTCAAATAGCATGTCCTCAAAGAGGGTGCCCTGTCGTCTCGGTCTATGGTTGCCTGACGCCGTCCCCACCACTTCCTATACACCACCCCATCCCCTGGCTCACACCTGTCCCCATCTTAGTTATTGTGAGCATTTGCTGGTTTGCACCCTATAGTCACTGTCTCCTTTCTAGAATGGAAACTCTTGGGGGGCAGAGACCACCTTTGTCTTGTTCACGGCTGTACTCCAGGACCCAGGACAG